AATTAAATTACAGTTCCTTATGAAAATGTTAATTATTACAAAGGGGGTTACATCTGAATATTTTCTCACAAATACAGATTTGATTTACTTTTTTTGATTGTGACAGTTGAATATATTCATTATAATTTTAGAAAATAATCAAAAAGTAATCAAATGTAATCAGTTACATTACTTTAATAAAGTAACTGAAATAGTTACACTACTTATTACATTTTAAATAGGGTAACTTGTAATCTGTAGCCTATTACATTTCCAAAGTAACCTTCCCAACATGGTTTACTAGTTACTTGAAAAAAGTAATCTGATTACGTAACTCGCGTTACTTGTAATGTGCTTCCCCCGACACTGTGCGTGAGTGAGGTGAGACCTGAGCTTTCCACGCGTGTTTCTGCAGCGAGGAACTGTGTGAATCTGTGTGAGCTGGAGCTGCATCACATGAACGAACTGAACCAGGAGGCAGCGGCGGAGATCTGCAGAGACGGTCTCCAGCAGCTGCACACGCTCCGCTTCATCTCCACACCCCAGAGCCATAGAGCCATTCTGCACTTCAGCAGTGAGCACAACTCACAAACACAAACACTCACAAACACAAACTCTCACACAAACTCTCAAACACTCACAAACACAATCACACTCACAAACACATGCGTAAACACACTCACAAACACAATCACACTCACAAACATGCATAAACACTCACAAACACAATCACACTCACAAACACATGCGTAAACACACTCACAAACACAATCACACTCACAAACATGCATAAACACTCACAAACACAATCACACTCACACACAAACACTCACAAACTCAAACACTCACAAACACAAACACTCACAAACTCAAACACTCACAAACTCAAACGCACACAAACACTCACACTCAAACAAACAATCACAAGCACAAACACTCACAAGCACTCACAAACTCACAAACTCAAACACTCACAAACACAAACACTCACAAACTCAAACACTCACAAACTCAAACACACACAAACTCAAACAAAACACAAACATTCACAAACTCAAACACTCACAAACACAAACACTCACAAACTCAAACACAAACAAACACAAACTCAAACACAAACACTCACAAACTCAAACACACACAAACACTCACAATCAAACAAACACTCACAAGCACAAACACTCACAAGCACTCACAAACTGAAACACAAGCACAGACACTCACAAACACAAACATTCACAAACTCAAACACTCACAAACACAAACACTCACAAACTCAAA